AACAATAAGAGCTGAAATCAACGTAAGCATCTTTATTCAACACTCCCTTTCCATGCTTACCATCACGGGGTGGGGGGACAGTCGTTAATGGCAACACATTTTTAATTAGGGTTACTGGTTGCATTTGAAGCAATATGTTTTACATCCAATCAAAATTAGGATGTTAACAAATAAATCAGACAATGCAAAAGCAATTTATTGATATTCCCAAAGTTATGGTCTTGAAATAAAATCCTGAGTCCTCAATGTCCGAGACAATACCGAGTACAAATGCAGAGACCATCAAAAAGACCGGTCTCGAGACCATGACCAGTTTTGAGTACTACAACACTAGTTAGAGCTACCCAACATCTCCCCTGGACTTCACACGCTGGTCTGGAAGCAGAGCAGGAAAGCTAACAGTTCATTTGCTAAAGTATCGTTACTTAGCCGCATGTCATTACAACCTACCGGGAGGGACAAAAAAACAATAGCAGTGGCGGTTGGCCTCCTCAACGCTAGACACATCCGAGACATTCACTGAATAAGTTTTAAGTTTAAGTTTTAATTTAATTAAAAAATTACAAAAATATACAGAATACATTTTTTAAATATGCAGGGTAAATATTACATAGTGAGTAAAATATATAATCTGCAATAAAATGTAGATTACAAATGGTCTACGTTGTTTAAAGTTACTGATAGGACATTACTGATAGGATATTTCTGCGCCGGACTTTTTGACCATAAACTTTCGCTATAGTTTGTACATGTGTAGTTCACTCCTCTTCAATACAAGAGATAGGAGCTTAGTAGGACGGATGCAACCTGCACTGCAAAAGCAATAAAAGGTGTGTTCGAGATGACTTCATCTGACTTGAGAGTAGGGCTGAACGATTTTGGAAAATAATCTGATTTTTCTTCTTTTTTTTTTTAACCAATATTACGATTTAATATGAGATTAAAACTTAGCTCTTTACCTTCTGTATTATTCAAAACGGATATTATATATGACCAATACAATATTAGATAGATTAAACATACACTATTCTTTCTTGTGGGTCAGGCCTGTCTTATGATGAAATTAGGTGAAGCATGAATTGCATGAATTATTATTATGAGCAATGGTGGAGAAGAAATATTTAATTTTAAATTTAAATAATTTTTGTCATGTCATTAAATAATATATCATCATCAGGTCGGCCAACGACAGACAACAAGAAAAACTAAGTTCAACACAGTGTGTTGTACAGTAAGCACTCAATAAAAAACCCACAGTTCAACCACCAATTAATAAGTCCTTATCTCAGTTCACATTGTACAACAAGTCAAGGTACAGCATAACATGTCAAGTTGATGCTTCCTCTGCAGACTGGTTTACTCTCCTGTGTCATGTGACCAGAGTGTAATCGCAGCCTTTGCGATTAGAAAATCTAATTTTATCACATTGCGATAATATCGCAGATGCAATTAATTGTTCAGCCCAATTTGATAGTCAAACGTGAGCTGCTGGCAACTGCAGGGGTGGGGTATAAAAACACTGCCGTCAAGTCGGACACATTCTACTTCCTGTAGAATGAAGTACCTATGCACCACGTTAAGTCAGCACTGCAAAGGGCCGCATGAAGTCAAACGCACCTTTTGTCTGAGTGCTGCTGATTACACACCAACAATCAATGGGGAGGCAGCAGAGTGGCTCATGGTGTATCTGACATTACAGGCCCAAGAAGGGGATGTTGAGCATAGCATTGTTGGAGACAGAGAGTGCTATTTAGCTAGCTAGAATGGAGTCAGAAAATTCTGTTAAATGACATAATTCAACAATGATCCAAAGACAGAGGAAGACAATGTGCAGTCCTCTTCAAGAAGCTGGTTTAAGAAGGCTTGCACCAGTGCTTTATTTTGCTTTCCCTACATTATTTTTCAAACGACAGGATAGAACGAATTGAAGCACATATCAGAAAATACAATACAACTAACCAAGTTTGGGAAGGCAAGCATAGGTGCTCAGCTTGATGAAAGCTACAGGATAGGGATCCATCAGCATAGTGAGGTTGACAAAAACAGGCACATCCTGTTGAAAATAATACTGTCAAGATCAGTGGTGCCTTTTAGATAGCCCCGCATGGCGACGATGAAAGAGAAAGCTCACAATATCCTGCTGGTTTCAGAGGATTTTGTAGCATCACTAGATGTAGTTCTTCAAGAGCATCTGCAGACTGCTACTGTACAGAATGAACTCATTGACTCTATGCTCACTGAACCTCATGCACCATTGAAAAAAAATCAGGAGTCCAGACTGTCTCCATCTAGGTCTCTTCCAAGAGCAAATGCAGTAAGATGGTGCTGTGAACACTGTGTTTGAGAACAAAGATGACCTCCTCCGGTGTGTTGAAACCATCAAGGACTCAGGCGAATTTGATCTTACCACTATGCGAGAAGCATCATTTCAGCTTCTTCCTGGAACTGTTCAATCGCATTATGCTTCATTTCCAGGAGCGAACTATCGACTCAGTCTGTGTCTACTGAATCATGCAGGAATTCAAAGACAACATGCAAAAGGTCAGGTAAATTAATATGTGGTAGAATCTCTAGTATTGTTCTCTATGGTCTGGGTCACGGAGCGTCCAGGCAAGGCCGAGCAGAGCTGACCGCTTCTCTCCTCTGTTTTGAATGTCTTAACAAGGCCAAGTACAATTAAGCTTTCTCCGCTGTTTTGACTGCTTTTAACCAGAATGTAGTGCAAACAATCGTGAATAAGAGGAAATATTGTACGAGGTTTGATCGGTGAGAGAGGTGGGAAATAAAAAAAAACAAAAAAAACAATGGAATGTGAAAAGCCTGATTATTCATAACCCATTAGAATTATGAGTGAACAAATAGGTTTATCAGGTACAATAACCTCTTTTTATTTTATTTGACTATTTTTTTAAATTGTATAATGTTTTTTTATATTTCCCTATGTTGCTTTTAAGTTTTATGTGAAGCACTTTAAATTGCCTTGTTGCTAAAATGTGCAATACAAATAAACTTGCCTTGCCTAATGTCTAAGACCATCAGTGATCAGTAGAGTTATCTTATATTCTAAAGAATCTATTTACTGTGGTGATGCTTTTCACTTCATTGCACAATTTGTTATAAGATATTTTCCATTGTGCATTCGTCTCTGCATCATGACACACATGTTGTGGAGAATATCTATTTACACATCTGCTAAACCAACAGATATCTATGTTAAGACACCGCATATCTCAAGATGAAGTTTGAGTAAATTTGCAAAAAAAAAAAAAGTAGAAAAATACCTTTTTAATAATAACATACTGTATTCTGTACAGACATGTAAAAGGCCTTACTCTTACTCACAATAAACAGTTTGTAAATAATTAATTTTCCTTGTGAGCAGTTCTTGAGAGCTGACAGCCGTCCTCACGTCTGACCACTTCTACATGACTCCCTGCTGCACTGCAGCAACAACAGGCGTCCATGTTGACCACTAACTGCTGTTATGACCCAGAACGACCGCTAGATGGATCCCAACACAAAGGAACGATGAGCCCAGAGTTACTGTCCTGCTGCCGCACCAACCTGATACATGTGAGTGAACACAGCGTCCATCATGGACTGGATAATCACTCATGACGGCCGAGGATACAACTAACAACCTCTGACGTTTCTGTTCCAAGAGCAGACGCCATCTCCTCCATCTTCACCAGTTTCCAAATCTACTTATTTCGAGTTTTCTGGAAGTCTCGTTCTCCTGATTCTCTTGTTTTAAACACAGAAGCTGATTTCTTGAAAATCCCTGAAACAAAGAAATCTGGTAAACAGGTAGAAAGTAGAATTAACTCACACTGTGTGGGTCCTCTAAAGAGAAACACACTCAGTTGGCCAGTTTATTAGGTACACCTCGCTGAAACTAAAGCAACAGTCCTGCTGTGAATGAAATTTGTCCAATACACTAAACTCTTCTGGTTAAAGTGAGGCTAAGAAACTAGGGGTGTAATGGTCCATGTATTCGTACCAGACAGTTTCAGTACAGAATGTTTGGAACAGTGCACATGTGCACCGAATGCAGTCTTTAACGTCATATATTAGGCTTGTTTTGTGTGTTGAACATACGTAAATTCCGAGTTTCTACACGGACATATTTAGTGGTGGACCAAATCTCTGCCTTACAGCGCTACACAAGCAGCACGCTTTGGCCCAGCCTCTCGCTAACTAGTGACTTGAGCATCATGGCCAGTGCAGAGAAGCCAGAGCTTTAGGACCCTCCCTTATTGTTAACCTGTTCTGTTTGGGAAAACTTCGGTTTCCTAGTGAAATACAACAACGTACAAGTCGATAAGACGAAGGCAGCAGGCCGACATTTCTCAGTAGTGATCGGTTATGTTTCTGCCAACACGTCAAACTTGCTAACTCACTTATGGTATCACATGAAGGACAGAGTCACTGCAAAGCCTTTCGGCATTTAAACAGACTTTAGACTTCGGAAAAGAGCACGCCTTCAAGCTGGGATTGATAATGCTCATAGATGGTATCAGAGAAGAAGAAGAAGAATGCTGCAGTGTATGTTTATATTTTATCAGCTATATGTGGTATTGTTTTGAGAATATTTTATTTAGTGAAGAACGTGGTAGTAGTTCGCAGTATTTTATTTCTTATCCTTTTTTATTTTATATATTTATTATGTGTATGTGTAATTTAAAAAATTGTAAACTAATTTGGATGTTTACAAAACTTCATTATAAATCAGCAGCAATTTAATGTTTGCACTGTTTTCTGTTACTGTACCGAAAATAAACCGAACCCTGATTTCAAAGCCGAGGTACATACCAAACCGTGATTTTTGTATACCGTTACACCCCTATAAGGATCCTTAAAGTTTCATCACATAATTAAGGTCAGCAGGAGCTCTTCACAAACCTTACTCCTCCCACCTGTCAGGTAAAGCACCACCTTTGCCCCCAATAATCTTGTAAATCAAAAGGAAGAAACAAAACGTGAGCAGCAGCGCTGCAGTGAGAGGTGGAGCAAGTCTGGAAAGAGGAGAGCTTCAGAGTTTGTCAGAGCAGCAGCTGTCGAGACGAGTCTGTCTCTGAAAGGAAATTCTGACTGACTTCATCAGGTCTTTCTCAACAACACAGCAGAGTCTCTGCCAAACACTGGTGAGTACAGCTGATCACATTTACAGCTTCAACAAGCAGCATCAACACAAACCTGCAGCTCTACTCAGGCAGGAAGTTCCACTCTTTTCATTTCATACTTGTGACGTTGGTTAAAATATAACTCTGGCTGTTTGTCCACAGGCCCACTATACAGCAGCCCACTGGAACTGCTTCAAACTGCCTCTTAGTCCGTTCTCAGGACTTTAGGGACTTGGAGTTTAGTTTCACTTCTACCTTCCTGATATTATTCCTGTTTATTGATCTCTTCCTGCAGCCATGTTGCCTTTGATTTCCTCTGGCTGTTTCACAATAAAAGCTTTCCACCAGTGAACCACCAGCAGGCTTTAAATGTGAAGCAGATGAATACGATATATAAAAACGACTGAAAACACACATCTAGTGGCGGTTCTTGTACACTGGGCATGCACGTGCCAGTATAAACATGAAGCAGATGGTCTGCTCCGCAGTTGCAGACGAATTGGCAAAAGAAGAAAGTAATACAGACGAAGAACCACACCAGGTTTTTTTTTTTTTTTGCATTGACCGACAATGAATGCATTCTCTTTGCATCAGGAAACTCACACTGAAGGACCAGTCTCTCTCTGCCTCTGGTTGCGGGCGGCGTGTGTGTGAGATGAGTAGGATCACACGATCGCTCCTGCTTGTTGCTCCTCGTCTGATTGCTGCTCAACTCTCAGTGTAAATGATTAATTGGGCGCATCAACCGCTTCATGTCTGAAAAGGACTTTGGTGCTAGCTAGCTTTGAAAACTGCTCAGACCACCTAGTGAAACCATTTTATTTTAGCTGCCGTTGAAAATTTGTCCGTTGAGTATTGCATCATCTGATGGGCCTTTTTAGCGACCAGCGATCAAACTAGTTAAAGCCATTATCGGCCAATTATGATCGGGGACCGCACACACACACACACACACACACACACACACACAGGATATCGAATGATCTATTTTTTTATCGTGATAACATTTTTGGCTGTACTGCCCAGCCCTAGTGTTTTAGCTTGAAAAATGAAAAGGAAACTGGGGGAGTCAGTTTGTATGGGCCGGATGCGGCTGATAGCATAAATATCTAGTGATTATTGTAATCTTTCATTTATCATTTCTAGAATAGATGTCTATTCAGGCTAATAACAGAGATAGACTGTTGTAAAGGAGAGGTAGTAGTGAGAGCAATGCAGACTGTGCAGCAACGGCAAATTGTTGTAGGAGGGCCATGGCAGAATTCTTCTTAGGTGGTAACATAGGTGTGTGTGCTTATGCTCCGGTCAAAGCCCTTTCTGACATGACGGTGCCAATATTAATGGGCTAAGCAAGGGAAGCTGGAAAGGGACATACAAATACATGTCATACTTCAATCAGTATCTGCTAGGATACTGCACATTAACTGATTAACCCTGCTAATGTGGAGTATATCAATAAGAAGTCTGCAATTAAAATATTTGTCGAAACTTTTAATTTTGTTCTGTGTGTGTAGATATGGCTGCTGCGAACCATCTGCTGTCTGAAGACCAGTTCCTGTGCTCCATCTGTCTGGATGTGTTCACTGATCCTGTCAGCACATCATGTGGACACAACTTCTGTAAAAACTGCATCACTGAACACTGGGATACTAATGACAGGTGGCAGTGTCCGATGTGTAATGAGGTTTTCAACACAAGACCGAAGTTGCGGGTCAACACTTTCATCTCTGAGATGGCTGCTCAGTTCAGACAGTCAGCTCAGCAGGAAGCCTGCAGCAGCAGCAGCAGCAGCAGCAGCTCAGATCAACAAGAGTCCAAACCAGGAGAAGTTCCCTGTGACGTCTGCACTGGAACCAAACTGAAGGCCCTGAAGTCCTGCCTGGTGTGTCTGGTCTCCTACTGTGAGACTCACCTGGAGTCTCATCTGACAGCTTCAGGCCTGAAAAGACATCAGCTGATCGACCCTGTAGAGAACCTGGAAGGCAGGATGTGTACGAAGCACGATAAACCTCTGGAGCTGTTCTGTAAGACCGACCAGACATGTGTCTGCACGTTCTGCACTGTTTCAGACCACAAGATGCACGATGTTGTTCCTCTGAAGGAAGAATATGAAGGAAAGAAGGCCGAGCTGGGGAAGACAGAGGCTGAAATTCAGCAGATGATCCAGAAGAGACGACTAAAGATTCAGGAGATCAAACAGTCGGTTGGCCTCAGTGAGGAAGATGCAGACAGAGAGAAAGCAGAAGGTGTTCAGGTCTTCACTTCTCTGAAGGAGTCTGTTGAGAGAGGCCTGAAGGAGCTCATCGACACCATCGAAGAGAAGCAGAGAACAACAGAGCAACAGGCTGAAGGCTTCATCAAAGAGCTGGAACAGGAAATCTCTGAGCTGATCAAGAGAAGGACTGAGGTGGAGCAGCTCTCACGCTCTGAAGACCACCTCCATCTTCTCCAGAGTGTCCAGTCCCTGAACATCCACCCTCCACCCACCAAGGACTGGACAGAGGTCAGCGTCCATCCATCATATGAGGGGACTGTGGTGAGAGCTGTGGCTCAGCTGGAGGAGACGCTCAGTAAAGAGATGAAGAAGCTGTTTGAGTCTGAGCTGAAGAGGGTCCAGCAGTATGCAGTGGATGTGACTCTTGATCCTGATGCAGCACATCCTAAACTCATCCTGTCTGATGATGGGAAACAAGTGTATGATAGCAATGTGGAGAAAAATCTTCCAGACAATCCAAAGAGATTTGATACTTGTGTTAATGTCTTAGGAAAGCAGAGTTTCTCTTCCGGCAAATTTTACTTTGAGGTTCAGGTTAAAGGAAAGACTGACTGGGATCTAGGAGTGGCCAGAGAGTCGATCAACAGGAAGGGAGACATCACACTGAGACCTAAGAAGGGTAACTGGACTGTAGGGTTGAGAAATGGAAATGAGTACAAAGCTTATTCTGGCCCGTCAGTCCGTCTCTCTCTGAAGTCTCGGCCTCAGAAGGTGGGGGTGTTTGTGGATTATGAGGAGGGTCTGGTCTCCTTTTATGACGTAGATGCTGCAGCTCTTATCTACTCCTTTACTGGCTGCTGCTTCACTGACAAACTCTTACCATTCTTCAGCCCCTGTGATAATGATGGTGGTAAAAACTTTGCCCCTCTGATCATCTCTCCTGTCAGAGTAAACTAATCACTTCTTATTTCATGTAGTGATTTATTTTTATAAGGAAGGAACAAACGTACATATTTAGTGGCAACACTAAACTTTAAATCATATTTTCTACAGAATCTGTTTACTGTGGTGATTGATTTACACTTCATCGTAAGATGTTATTATATGTATCCCATTACAGAGGCAACACATTAATTTGATGCCTCCATTTCTTCGACTCTGCATCATGACACGTGTGTCTATTTAAACCTCTGTTAAACTCAGACCTTTAGTTTCTGCTGATGAGCAGCGATAGCAAAATTATTGCTGAATATTTCACTGTGTCATAAAACTTAATTTAAGAGTGAGGCCTATTACATGTATATAGTACAGAATACAGTGTGTCACTGTTATATTGTGCATAAAAGTTTAATGGACAAAGTTAATTAATAGATACTGAAATTCTATAGATATAGATGTTAAACCACCTGTGACCTGTAGTAGAGCTACAGCCAAAGTCATGGCAGGAGTTCCTTCTCTCTCTCTGTAATTTACTGCCTGAGAAACAACACCTCCCACATGTTGCTCCGTCACAGTGCTGATCCTTCTGAACAGGAAACACCAGAGCTCCTCAGTCAATCTAACGGGAGGCGGAGATCTACGGTCAACCAAGTGCTTCGTAATAAACTCTGAACTATGCAAGAATAACATGGGACACACTGAAATGCACATGGTGTTTGGTTAGTGTGACACATTTGTTAGCTTTGGAAATGTGTACAGAAGTCACTCAGGAGGAGAGCTGACCTGGACAGCCTGAAACTTTTTGTTTTTATATTGAACTCCAACAGATTTGAAATTTGAAAGCCACTCATTTTTATTTGTAGTGAAACTGCAACACAGCCATAAATCTACTTTTTAAAAAGTCAAAACTCTGCTGTTTGTTGCTTTGCTGACTGGATAGAGCACAACACTAACACTACCAGCAGGTTCCACCCCACGACTGCAAAGATTTTAATTTAAGTCATGATGTCTTATTTAAGGATGATTCAATCTTTTGTTTTCTCATCCAAACATATAATGTTGACAATTAATCATTAGGCTTATTTCAAGGTATCTGGTCTTAAAGTAAAATGTTCAGTTATAAATTTCAGCTCCAGCTGACAAGAAACAAGTCCAACATTGCATGGTGGACGGCTTTTCTTTTTTCAAGAATCATAACTCTTTAAATTAGGCAACACAAAACAACAAGGCAAATATCCTGATCTGTGTCATTTAGTCTCAGTTGTTAAAGCTTATGTCCAACTAATCAGGATTGGATCTAGTTAAACTTAAGACAGATAACACAGTGCAGACTATTTAAAGTCAAAACTTCTACTGTTTTCTGCACTGCCTCTAACATAGACCAATCAAGAGGTAGGGAGACATTTCTGATGCCACATACATTTGCATTTCCTTTCTCAGCTCAGGAAGAGCCTTTGAGTGTATGCTAATACTCTAGATGTGATCTGCCATTTGTTTCTTTGTCCACCATTTGTCTTGGCAGTTACTATTGGCTGCTGTGTTTTGTACTTGAAGAAAAGGAAATGCCACCAAAAAGAGACAGATTGTGTAGGCGGCTTGTTAATGACGTAGCCTTTCAAAAGATCGAATCCAAAATGTTACTAAATTACGTTCTTTACTCTTTCCTCGTTACCATTGACGGCAACGTTGCCCTGCACAATTGCTCTAAATGTTGCTCTTTGTATCATCAGCTTTATGCCAATTTTTGGATTGCCCTCTACCAATGTGCCTTTTTACAATTGTCCAGTAAGTTGTTTGGGCTGCTAGTAGTACAGATAGGGGTGTAACGTTATACCAAATCCACTGTTTGGTTCAGACCTCACAGTAAATAAACACTTAACTAAGGTGGAAAATTACCTAGAATAACCTACTGTCAACACAAAAACATTGTAGGCCTACACCGCTACCGACCCCCAGCCACCGCCACAGTTAATTAGAGGTCAAAAGTCAGGGAAGCGGGTGTGTCGTGGTTCTGTCTCTTGGATCCGCAACACAAGACCATGGACTTTTGTGTTGCGGTTACAAAACATCAAATATATGTTTTCATGTTAAGACCTGCTAACTTCACTCGCATGATCTGTTAACACTCTGCTGCTTCAGCACTACACAATGACCAGCTACAGCAACCACAAAGGGTCAAAACTCTCTGGACAATGATAAAATAGGTAACCAAATACACAACAAGGAACAAGGAAGATAAAACCTCTCCACAAAGCTGCAATAACAGGATGGGCAAAACTGGAAAGACAGCGTTCCAACATCATACTCCCTCTTAACATTCCAACAGCCCGCCCACGGGCCGTCAGGTCCTGGCGCAGCTTTCAGTATGTGCACACTACTGCTATGTTAACTTCATACTCATATGACACACCGTTTGAAGCTAAAATTCTCGTGATTCGACCAATGCAAACCATTTCAAGATACAAAACACCACAGCGGGTACAATCAGCGCTTCCGTCAGACCAACCAGTACAAGCAAAATTGACACGACTCACCTGTGAAGCCTCATAGTAATCCACCGGTCCATTATATTCCAACAAAAATGGTCTTGCTATGTTACCAAGGGTCCAGACGATCCAATCCAGTAAAAATATTTAGCCCAAAACACATCATTCCATCAATAAATCCCCAGGGACTGCTGCCGAATCGTTTCATTTCATTCATTTGCCAGCAGACGTGGCTCTTTTGTCATTATAACCGTAATAACGCAGATTTAAATTGTAAATTTTCATGGTATTGGTATGAAATTTAAACTTGGATTAGGTAAGGCTTTATCCTGTGGCCAAACAGTGTTTTCCAGCTAATAAGTCCCAGCTATAGTTGTCTGCATGCGTTTTTTAGCAAGCATTTTCAAGCAGAAATGAAAAATGTATTAGTTTTAGTGTGTTTAAACTTATATTATCAATTCCAGTAGCACTTACAATCATTCTGCCTTTTGGGTTGGACACTCCAGAGAGTGTTATCTTTCAGAGAAGCCCAAAACCATGCATATACTCCAAATGGTTCAAGAACTACATTCAATTTACTTTGGATATGCCTTGAATAGGCGTTTTGCATGAATTTTACAGGAATGTTAAGAGGTTAAATGTACTTAAAAGCGTTTTAGTCTAGACAAATCTGTTTCTCTTTAAAGAAACATTAAACTAAGTTCATCAGGTGTTTCAACAACTCATCAGAGTCTCTGCCAAACAGTAGGGTATTGTTTTAATTGTGTCTATTCCAATTCTACTTAATGAATCTGGTTCTTATTGAATCTCATTTCTGATTCCAACCCCTTCACTACAGATCTTACGGATGTGTTCGAAACGCTGCCTCGCTACCCTAACAGGTGCCTCAGCAGGTATCGCTTTTGAGTGAACATTGGTTTCCAACAGCCTTCTAAGGCAGCACTTACGGCAACGTGCGACCTCAGCACGCCGTCTTGCGTCTCTTCTGACAGCCAGAAGAGACACTAGCTTTAGCATCAGCTAACTAGCTATTGAAAAGGCAAATGGCTAAAAGACGCCTCAGAAATCATACTGAACAAACTTGGTTGGTTACAGTCAGTTACAGTCAGCTAATATGATAGTTTAGTGTTTAATCTGTGCAATATTATCCGTTTAATAATTAACGTGCAATATTCTCTGCTGCCATTTATTCACTAGTCCTTTTTGGTTACCACAATAATTCTTAATAATGTAAATATTGTACATACCCACAATCCTTTATATTTGTCTTTATATTTTATATTTATACTCTTATATTTATATACTATTTATCTATCTACCTTTGACAAGTGTGCAATTGTGACAAAAGAATTTCCCCTCAGGGATCAATAAAAAAATTTGGATTCGGATTCTGAATTCTCGCTAACTTTTCAATAATTGAAGTGAGAAAACTACTGCATTTACATTCATAAACGTATTAACCCATTTTGGCTTGTTTGTCCGCCATCTTGACCAGTTTTCATAAGCTGCCTAGCAGCAGTCATGCTGGCTTATGGGTAATAGGCAGCATCATTCAAAATCGGCCGTTACAGGGGCAGTTTGAAGTCATTTCAGGAGACAGGAAGAGATCGTTCGAGCCTCTTGGAACATCGCTTGATGCCTCGCTGTCCTATTAGACACCTTCTGAGACAGCAGTCTAGCCCGTTTCAAACACAGCCATCGACAACAAGAGCAGTGGAAAATGATGAATGAATGATGCACTTCCGTAAGAAGGGTGTGTTTGTACGCACACACGCTTCGCATGCACTGTAGCATGTAGTCCACACAGAGCAGAGAGCCGCATCTACTGGACTCCCAAGCTTTGACTAGAATGGCCGTGATCAGCTCCGGCAGCAGTTGCGGCGCCGGCGGACTCACTGGACTTTGCAGGTGAGAGAGAGAGCACGCAGGCTCTGCCAGAGATCTGTCTTCTGGATTTTTTTAACAGCGAAAATGCATGAAAATGCAACAAAAATGCCCTCATCACGCACCAACATTAACGAGTGGTTAAACTATAGTGTTTAAAGTAATCTAAATATATCTGCGAGCTGCTTGTCTCTTGTTAGAGTCAGTATTGTCGGAAATGAGAGGGGACATGTAAATAAACATGAGCTGAACAAATAGGCCTATCTTACACAGCTTCCAGCCAAACAAAGCTATCTAACTTTACCTCTTCTTTTGAATGTGTAACGTTGTGTGCGAAATCTCAAAATTGCAGGTCCTTGCTGTAGACAGTCATTTATTGTTAGATTAATTAAACAGCAGCATTTTCTCTGTGTTGTCTCATGTTTTAGAGCCAGGTGGTGGTTAGGAAATGGTTTCTCGTAGCTTTGACTAGAATTAACAGAGTGCTGTTCAGGAGAGCCCTGTTTGCCATTAATATTATAGCAGTGACATGAGATTTGATATATGGTATTTAGAGGTGCTCCGATCAGGATTTTTTGGGCCGATCACCGATTACTGAAAGCAGTATCGGCCGATACCGATCACGGATCACTGCGACTATTTAAAGCCTTTTATTTATCATGTAGCATTATACAGTATACTGTATTATTTATTTAATTAGTCCTAAAAACAATGTATTAAAATTAAGAGATAATAAAGTGTGATGGAATGACAACTGTTTATTTTATTTCGAGGAAACATGGGCAACAAATTCCACTCCCTCTGTTTTAGGGGTCTTTCACCCCTACCTTGTTTGGTCCGGACATGGTCCATTGCAAAAAGGACACAATTATGGTCTCTCCTCAAATGGAGGTGCAGAAGGATTGCTTGCAGTCTTCTCCCCCTTTCCTGCCGATGTTATGACGATGTTCACACAACAAGGATGTTTATTTGGCGAGTCAGAACTAGCCCGTCTCAAAGCGTCGGTAATTGACGTACTGTGATGAGAATGTGTTGCGAGTTAAGTTGGTGCTGCAGGTAGTAGACTAATGCCGTGACAACAATATAGGGGCAACAATATGCATCTGTACATTCCTCATTCATTTATTCTGGTCAGTGCTCCCCGTGGAACTATTCAACCAATCAATGTCAAGTAGGTATAGGGAGACGCAGCCCACATGGATGATAACGCAAGACCAGTCATGTAAAGTCCTTTAGTGCGCAGCATAGGTAACTACAGTACGAAACCAAACCAAAACTAAACAAGTGCATCAAAATGTACTACCAAAACATGAACTCTGGTTTGGACCTTGGTGCGGACTTTCAGGTGTGAAAGCCCCCTTAGAGACTTAAACCATGGAAGCCTTTGCCTGGTTACTGCGAACATCTTATAGCTTTACAAATATAGCTTTCCTGTAGGGGTAAAAAAGGTGAGAAGGATACGCAAGCATCTAAACACACAGAGAGTGTCAGAGTCTGTTTAAGGTTACATGTTTGTATAGATAACTTGTGTACTGCAACAAGAGAAAGATTACGACACGCAAGGGCGTCACT